TTGGTGGTTCTGCACACATCCTGTTGATTCACTTTATGTATATTTTTATTACATGGAAGTAATCCCAATCGGGTTTTTTTAAGATAACTTTGGGGAGAGAATGAGCATGAGGGAGTGTGGAGAGGAAGAGGAAAGCTCAGAAGGAAAAAGAAGGAAAGAGGGATGGAGGCCGGCTGACATCCTACAGCAGGAGGAGTGTGGTAGTTGAAGAGAGATGGAAGGATATTAGGACAAAGAGCAAATCAGTTGGGCAATCAGCAAGTGTAAAGGCAGATCAGAGTTTGTATTTTAGAGGACAAAACTTCTGATAACATGAGGACACTGATTGTGGGTGAGTGAAGGCACTTCCCACCTTTTTCACTGCTCTGCTGCTGGAAGAAGGAGAAAAGCTCCAGTTCCAGAGACTTTAAGAACACTCCAAAGCGCCTCCTGCTGTTTTTCTAAGTGGTCAGGGAGATGTAGCTATGAGCTCATGTTCCCAGGCATCTCCTGGTTGGATCTGGCATGGGATGGGGATTTCTGTTCCTCACTGTGGGAGCAGAGCTTCATGGGGTGAGGTTTTTGAGACTGGAGCAACAGTGGGCTATTACAGGCTCACACAGAACCTGTGGGGAGGAGCAGAGATTCAGGCAAAGGACATTGCCTGTATGCCTGTCCCTTTCCAAATACTTTGGATGGTTTCTGCTTCTGGAACCACCTCCACACTCCCCTGTATTCAGCATACATAAAAACAGGGCATGTGGGGCAGCCTAATTCTCACAACAGGGAAAGCAGTCTGTGCAACAACTGGATGCTAGCATGGAAGGCCCCCCTCCCGCCCAATAAACCAATGAACTGCAGACCTTGTACATTTCCAGCAGGTGTTCTGCTATTGTCCTCAGATAACAGAATGGACTAGAAGAACCTCAACTACTAGGCTTCAAGAGCCCTAACCCTTTACTGGACTTTCCCCTTATGGCCAAGTTAAGGATTGTCATTGTTGTAACTGACAAAAGCCTCATCTACACTGGGGGCGGTGTGTAGGATTTGTGTAGCTACAACCACGGTGAAAAGCAGGCTGCACCAACACTGTACTGGGCAGCTACACATCAGTGAAAGGCTCTCACGGAGGGGAAAGGCTCGGGCAATAGGGAGCTGCCAGAGCCTTTCCTTGCCTGATGCTTGCTGGAGTCTTTCCTCGCAAGCAGGACACTATACTGCTAAAAATAGTGTAGACAGGGGAGGCACGACTTGGGCATGGAGTGAGTATAGGATACATGCCCTAAGGTTCTGGCATGTCTTTATTTATCTAAGCAGAGCCTCTCTGTCTCATGCTCTTTATACCTGTGGTAGAGGGGCATGCGGTGTATGAACTCTACACCCCACTGTCAGTGTAGATCTAGCCTAAGGCGTTGTAATAAGAATATGCATGACCTTCCTCCCAGCCGTAGTCAACTATTCGTTCACACAGGCATGCCTGCGAGTGCTTCCTGGAAGCCATACATTATTCTGACAGCTTCCAGACAAGTGAGAAAACTGTGGGAGTCACAGGAGTGCCACAAATTTTAATTTGAACACTCATATGAAAATTTATACATACAATTTTTTCCCCCACACACATATGAATAAAGACATTCATCCAATCAGGGAGCAGAAATATGTGACTTATGTTGGCCAGCTAACAGTGCAAATAATGAATAGAAAATAAGTGACCAGTTAGTAAAAAGCCCATAGGGTCACTGTAGCACAGGGGCTGCTTACTGCCCCCTGGGCAATCCCCCTTGCAGCCAGAGATCATTCTGCTGCACCCTGGCTCTGTTATCCCCTTTTCAGGACCCGTTAGAACTCATAGTTCAGAAGTGGTTCCAAGAATCCCTCCCAAGACATCTCATTTATTGAGTCCTCTGACACACACTGGCCCTGTAGGCCCCGGGCAGTTCAAGGTCCCTTTCCAGATTAACACACAAACTCACAGTCTTCACCCCAGCTGGCCTTTCCAGTCTCTTTCCTGCTTCTTCAGGGTCTCTCCCAGGCCTCACTGCCTAGAGACTTTCCTCCAACTTCAGCTTTTTTTCCCTGTTGACTCAGGGCCTTTACACAGATGGCACAAACACGCTCCTGTAATCTATAAAACTATTTGCAACTTTCTCTCCCACCCTCCTGAACCTTCCTGCTCTTTTTATCCTGCCAGCTCCTGATTCAACCCAGGTGTGGTTCATCCTGCAATCAGGGCTGGCTTAGCCCTAGGCTATCCAGCACATGAGGCCAACCACCCTGTTCCAGTGACAGAGGCTATTCAGTGAACATTTAGGATTATATGCTAGAAATCTGGATTTATTTGCAAACAGTTTCAAACACTAAAAAGGACCAAATTTGACAATTTATTTGCAACAAATTATTCAACTAGCTGCACAGACCAGCAACCTAGAAAGTGCACCTAAAGTACTGATTTTTAACAAGGGACAGAGAAGGGCATTAGAAAAAATAGAAATTGTGGGGCCTGATTCTCCTCTGACTTCCACATTACACCCTCTGGTACACAAGCATGAAGTGGGCATAAAACCCTACCAAACTGAATTTCCTCACTAGTAGGAGTAGCATTTTACAGTCTCTTTGCAAAGATGCAAGTGACTCCTCTGGGGTGCAAAGATCTCTGTGATCCCTCCTATGGCCTGTGGGCAAATAGACAGGAGCATGGACAAGCAAAAGAGGATGAATCTGACTAGTTGGTCATTCAAATGTGTGTTTTTATACAGCACAGTGGTTTGGAAGTGTAGACCTATGTCTAACTGTATGGGACTAGAGCACTGGTGGGCAACCTGCGGCCCGTTAGGGTAATCCGCTGGTCGGCCACAAGACAGTTTGTTTACATTGACCGTCCACAGCTCCCAGTGGCCGTGGTTCGCTGTTCCCGACCAATGGGAGCTGCGGGGAGCTGCGAGAAGATGCGGGCCGCCACTTCCTGCAGCTCCCATTGGCCAGGAACGGCGAACCGCGGCCACTGGGAGCTGCAGGCGGCCGTCCATGTGGACGGTCAATGTAAACACACTGTCTCGCGGCCCGCCAGTAGATTCCCTGAGAGGCTGCAGGTTGCCCACCACTGGACTAGAGGATGCCGCTGTGCAGTTTGCATGGTGTAAGTTTCCTCATAATTGCCACTGCATTTTGATTGCCACTTGCAATAGTCCCCAGCTGCCTGTTCTCACCTATTTCCTCAGCAGAGCTCATCAACCAGGCCAAAGCATGTGGTGCTTTTGTGATGTAGATAAATGCCTATCCCCACAACAACTAGTCTAATCAAACTGAAACCTGAACTCAGGCCTCTTAAAGTGAAAGGTTAGTGCCCTAATTTTACCTTTATGAAAGTTTTGAACCTGCACAGACTAACAATAATATCAACCATTTAAGCAATGAAAATCCTCAGTTGTAGGATCAAGTAAAGATAAGCTATAAGAAACTTTCCCTTTTGCCTATAGCTGGGCTTGCTAAAGAGAAAAGAATACCACAGGAAGCTAGATATACCAATGAAGCCATACACGTTGCTTTGAAATTTTAGAGATGTGTCTCCCCATCTCTGTCAATTTTTAAATAAAATGATGAGGAAAGTTTAAACAGTATAGACTAGTAAAACAAACACTTACCTGGTTTTGAATCATCACATATTTTTTCTGATATAGCTATAGATGTGTTTTTGAGTCCTTCAAATGTATTCACATAGTAATATTTGTCTTTTGATCCAGCCATGGCCAAAAGCTCATCAGGTTTTGCTCCTTCTATCCCAACAGCATAGATAATAATTCCATTGTCTCTTAATCTCTTGGCTGTGTCATTGAGCTGTGGTGCATCTTGGGAGTCACCGTCTGTTATCACTATAAGAATCTGTGGAACTCCCTTGCTTTTGCGGCCTCCATGCTCCTGAGCAAACAGAGCTTCCGAATAGCCAATTGCCTTGGCTGTGTACGTTGAACCTCCTTTAGTTACGTCATTCTGGATAGCCTCAACAATCTCGGATTTTGTTGTGTACGTATTAAGGTAGAAAAACGTTTCTGGTTCATCAGAATATTTTACAGCTCCAAACTGAACTCTATCTGGAGCGACATCAGATTTTTTCACCAAGTCAATCATGAATTTTTTCATGGTCTGGTATTGTTCGGGACTTATGCTCCCAGATCCATCTATCACAAACACAACATCTAATCTTTCTATCCTTTTGCATTCTGTAAAAGAACAAATGACAAAACAAAAAAACCCAAACAGGTAAGTAAGTACAGACTCTTACTGAATCTTTCTTACTAGTCCCCTTGTATTCAAGCCAAGCTTGTGAATTTGGATCACTTTTTGGAGGCAGTAACACAACTCAACAGCCTATGTTAGGCATGTTTTGGGAAAATCCACCAGTGCACAACAGAAGAGCCTAACCACTAATTCTAAAATAACAGAGTTTCAAATTAATCTAAAATCCAGAGGGACGGGGGATGGGGTGAAGAAATTAATAGTAACACAACAGAATGGGATCAGACTAGATGATCAGAATGGCTTCTTCAGGACTTAAAATTCTATGAATCTGTATTCTATTAGAATACAAGCACCAATTAAAAGCTTGTATTTTAATTTCTGGAGTTATGTCAAATTTCTGTGACCCTTGTTCTACTACAGCATCACCGTACACACAGTTTTATTTACTGTTTACTAATGGAAATGAGCCAAATTCTGCTGCCATTTGCATCTATGCAACCACACTGAAATGCATGGAGACCCACCAGGCATCAATGATAGCAGAATTTATTTTCTGCTTTGGATCTATTGCAATTTTTTCTTCTTTGTGTAAGAAAAATGTTCAATTTGGAGACTGAAGCTGTTCCATCCCTGCACAGCCCCCAAGGCTCTATGTTGCAGTGACCAAAAAGGGCTGAATGGGACTTTTGTGAAACCCATTAAAACTACTCCTAAACTAAAGATCAGCATTTATGACGAGGAGATGGGAAGTCAATACCGGATTAACAGTTTAGTAAGGAGGACATTGTAGCTCCTAAACAAGGAACAAAATATATACCTTTCAGGGCATAACACAGTGACAGGTTTGGACCTGTTCTCACTTTGCAACAGCAAAAATGTGTTTTCTACAATTGGATTAGTGAGTGCAAGAGAGACCCAGAACTCAGTCCTGTAAACCCCTGAAATGGAATATGCAATGTGCAAAGAGGAGAGAGACTCCTTGTGCTCTCCCCAGCCACACTGCAGCCCTGGGCTATTCCATTTTTCAGGTTCTTATGCAACAGCAAGTGCAATGTTTGGATAGCAGCCTCTGCAGGGAAGTGTTTGCACAGATGGTTATCACTCTATTTTATTCTATATAGGTTCTTATACTGCAATCATCACCTTAATATACCTGTGTGCCTTCCAGCCATGTATTGAGCAGTGAGTTTTTTCTCTCATCCTCTCCCCAGGGGCAAAAGTGTGTTTAGTGAGTTGTTTTGAATGTCACCTTCACTCCCCATATATTTATGTTAGAGAAGGCAAGGTCAAAGGAAAACACCTTGCACTTGGAGTGGAAGGTGGAGAGGTTTGTGACAGACCTGAGTTCCTGTGAGAGTTCATTTCACACAGTCCTGGACTGGGACCCCCCAAAAATGAGTAGCATGTGGTCACTACCATTTTCATCTATCTGTACACAGTTTTATGCCTCTTTTGCACCTATTTAAATGCTTCTGTCAACACATTTTCTTAAAAGACTTGGCTACATTGGGTTTGAACCACATCTGGAACCCAAACTGAAACTTGTAAATACGGTTCCAACAAAACTAGTTTCCGGTGCTGTATTGCTGGCAACACGGATAGGGGCCAGACTCTCTCTCTCTCTCTCTCTCTGTGTCTGTGCGCGTGCACCTATCAATCTTCTAGGCCATTCGGGGTTCCTGTGTAAATGCGTACTACTAAAGTCTATCAGGTAAATACAACCTATAGAGCCCATTTCTGCCCT